CAGGCTGTAGGCACGGAGGGTGCGGGGAGGGCCTCCTGGGAGGAGCCTGAAGGACCCGCAGCCCTGTTTGAGAAGATGGGGCACGAGCTGGCTGGCAGCAGCAACCGGGGCGGCCTGGGCTGGTGGGGTAACCTGATCGATGGCACGGCTGTGGCTAGAGTCCTGGGTGGCCGGGGCAGCAGGTGGCAAATTGCTAAGCCTGTACTCAGCAGTAGCAGGAAGAAGCCTAAACTGGGGCAATGCATCTAGGACCAGAGAAGAAGCAGGATGGTCAAGGCCCTCCACGGCCAGCCCAGCCCAGCAGCAGCAGAGACTGGTCATGCCCAGGCTCTCTGTCTCCCCCAGAAATGGCTTGTGCAGTTGACATTTGAGCCCAGCCCAGCTCCAGGGTCAGCAAGTGGCATGCATGTGTCTGGGGGAAAGGTTGAGCCACCTTAGAGTGCAGAGAAGGGGTTCCTGAGGTCCCCAGGATCAGGTGGGCCCAGCCCCAACGGGTCTCCAGGCCCTCAGCAGACTGAAAGGCAAAAGCCATCCCCATCACTGTCCCTCGCCCCTACACACTATTCTTATTACCCTGAGTACACTACCAGGAGCCGAGCCGAGGGGACCTGCTCAGGACAGAGCCCCCTGTTCACTGCAGGTTTCTATTCAACACTTTCCATGTGCTGCACGCTGTGCTAGGCGCTGAGACCCCAGACGGGACATGACGCGGAGGGTGGCATCAGCCCCCTGCAGCTGTCAAACAGGGACAGATCCACAACCAGGGTACAGAAGACACAGGCCCAGTGAGAGCCGGATTTGCATTCCAAGCTTTACCACTGACTAGCTGTGTGACTTCGGGCCAGTCACTACACCTCTTCAGGACTCAGTTTGCTCACCTGCAAAATGAGGCCAGACACCCTGAGGATACCAGAACAAGCAAGAAATGCAAGGGATGGCCTGTGACACCCCATTTCCAACTCCATGTCCAGCTCTGGCACCCAGCCCTTCCGAGGCAAGACCCTGGACTCTGGGAGAACCGGGGTGGGGGTGGGGCTGTGCCTCCTGTGGCATGGAAGGGGACAGCTGCTGGGCCAGATAAAGGCAGGGGCTGGGGTGGTGGGCACTGGTGCCAGCCGTGGGGGCAGGGATGCTCCTCAGCGGAAGAGGTTTCTCAGCTTCTCCCTGGAAGCCGTCCCAGTGACTCACAGCCATGGCAGCCTAGCAGCTCACCCCTAAATCCCTACTACTGTTATTTCAGCCCATCTCCCCTCGTCGAGCTCTGAGCCTAGGGGAGGGGGTAGGAGGCCCCTCCGGTCCATCTCATTCCTCGTTCAATGGCAGGAGCTCTGTCTACCAGCCTAGCATGGCTCCAGGAGGACTTTGAGGCTGGGAACCCCCCTGATCCCCGTCTGTAGAAGGAGAGCTGCCAACTCTGACAGTGGGAACGGCCTCATAGACCCACTGGTTTGTTGCACCCATGAGGAGACAGGCTCTGAGAGGGGCAGGGACTTGCCCAAGGTCACACAGTGAGTTGCTGGCTCAGCCAGGCCTCCCTATCCTGCTCCCTCTGCCCAGAGAACCTCCACCCTTGAACACCTTTCTTCACCAGAAGCCAGGACCCAGCATAGTCCGACCTGGCCCTTGGCTAGACGCAGAGGGAGCATAGGTTGAGATGGGGACAGGCCAACTCTGTGCCCCCATGTCACAGAGGACATAGAGGCTCCCACCCTCCTCCAAGAGACCAACCCTAGGTCTGAGCAAGAAAGGATCCAACTTGAGGCCCAACTTCTTGTCTCTCACTGGTGGGCTCCCAAAAGTGGCCCTGGCCCATAGCCAGTAGCTGGGCTCTTGGCGCCCCCTGCAGGCCAAGAGCACCAGATGGACTCGCTCCATAGGGGACCCCTTCCTTCAGCGGGCAGAGGCAGGGGAGCACCCTGCAGCACTGAGGAGCCAAGGGGTCCCCTCGCCTTCCAGATGCACTCTCTCCCTGCCTCTAAGCCATCTTCCCGCCCTGTGTCCCTCTGAGAGACTCAGGCTTCTGCCATGACTGCCAGTCTCTGCGGCCACTAGGCAGCGCCTGGTAGAGAAGACAAGGAGGCCCCAGGAGGCAAGGGGAGGTTGCACTGCCTTAGCCCAAGACCACCCACCTCCCACTCGCCTGTGCTGCCAGGGAAGGGAGAGACCCTCACAATCACGGTGCACCCACCATGTGCCCAGCTCTTCAGAGCCAGACGCAGCAGCCACGTCAAATCGCATTGATTTCTCCCAGCAGCCCCCTGGGGCAGGAACCATTATCTCCACTTCTAGATTTAAAAAAGCCAGACTCAGACCCCATAACCAGGGGCTGACGCTGCAGTGAGGACAAAAGTGGGTCCCAGAATCAGATCTCCCTCAGGCTTAGAAGGTAACACCCCCAGTGGTTACCCAAGAGCTTCCCCTAATGTGCCCTCCAGGCCAATGCCAGCCTGGTTTCCCAGCTGCTCCTGGGAACGTGTTAAAAGCCCAGATGCCTACCTGGAGCGGGGCCCAGGCACCTGTGCTTTCAACCATCCCACAAATGTTTCGATGCACAGCCAGGTTTGAGAACCATCACTCTGGTCCAACCCACATGCCTGACAAATAGAATCCAGCTGCTGCCTGCACACCTCCAGGGATGGAGAGCCCGAAACAGCAGGCGGCCCGCCAACTGCACCTTGGCTGTCACCCTTAGGTCTGCACGAGTCCAGCTCCCAGCAGCTTCTGCCCGCTGGTGTCAATTCTAGTCCTTGAGCCACATAAAAAAAACACAATGTCTCTACTAACGGCTTTGAAGTCAGGCTGAGTCCTGGCCCCACTTCTTAATACCTGTGTGACTTTGCGCCAATTGCTTAGCCTGTCTGCCCAGTTTCCTCCTCTATACAATGAGAGTCCGCTGTCTTGCTGGGAGGCTAAATGCAATCGTGTCAACGGAGTACTTAGTCCCCTCGCTAAGTTCCGTAAAAGTTTGCTATTTTTATCACCATCATAAAAACTCCCCACATTTTAATAGGGCTTTCTGTGTACTCTTCTATCTGGTCACCATGTAGTCTTTCGCTCCATTCAGCAAACAACTGTTGAATTCCACCCCGTTGCCTCGGGCTCCGCACAAGGTCCCTTTTGCCTCTGACAACAGTTCCTGACTTAAGTATCTTCTCCACCTTGCAGATGAGAAAACTGAGTCCCAGAAATAGTTACCTTCCCCCCCTTAAATCTTCTTCAGACAAGAAATCCGTGGCTTCCCTTATAGGGTGCAACAGCGCCTTCACCTCCACCCCCAGAAAGCTGCCCTGACTGGGTTTGCTGGCCAAGCCCCCACGGGGGAGGGGTCCCGGGTGACTGTGGAGTGGGGGCAGAAGGACACTCGCTGTCTGGTTCAGAGCCCCGGTCTGTGGCTGAGGCTGCGGGTACAGCGATGGTCTTCAGTTCCTCCTGGGAATAGCGAGAAGGCTCCTTTCTTTCTCTGTGCTTACCTGTGAAATGAAGGATCTGGAGCAGACCAGCTGTCCAAGTATGTTCCTTAAGTCTGTGGTTCTCTGTGCTCTGCTGCTCCCCCAAGAATCCAGAAGGCAGCCCCAGGCCACCTACCCTGGGAGGTGAGCAGGTGGGGAAGGGAGGCAGGGAACAGAGAGGTCTTCCAGAGTCACCACCAGCTCTCCTCCCACCTTTAGGCTGTACACCTACTATGTGCCAGGGACAGCTGGGGTGGGGGACAGGCTGAGGGGCAGCAGTCACAGCACAAGTCATGGGACAGCCACACCTGGACTCCAATCCAGGTTCACCCTTCCAAACTGGGTGACCTTGAGCCAGCACTTGACCTCTCTGAAACATAACCGACTCTTAGGAGGTGCTCCGCTAACGCACGCCTTCCCTTGAGAGAGGGATCGCTTCTTCCTCACGGGGCCTTTCCCCATCCTAGTGAGCATTTCTGTCTTGCTCCTGGCCCCCTTGCTTCCTGTCAAGATCCCAGAGTGTCTGTCATTAGATGAGGCAGAGCCTTTCTGGGACCCTCTGCCCACTGTGGAGGAGGACAGGCAAGAGGACAGCCTTGGGGTCGGAAGGAGTCTGAGACTCGGCTCTGGCACTTGTTGTCTATGTCACCTTGGGCACATCGTCCTCTTAGCCTTCACTCCGGCATCTGTATACTGGGCATAATAATTGGCATCTCATAGATTTGGGGTAAGGATGCCCCAGGATGAAGTGCCTACCACCTTGCACAGCACATAGTAGGTGTTCAATGAACAGTAGTGCTCTCTCCTGCCCGCCACTGAAATGGACACATTAAAGCCCCTTCTCCCCACATGTGCCTGGTCTCGGAGCTTCTTGACATAAATTATCTCGAGATGTGGTCCTCACCACCACCCTATGAGGTGGAGCCAGCACTGTCAACCCATCTTCAGGCTGTCAAAACCCAAGGGGCTGAGGAGAGCACGGCACACTTGGTTCTCGAGGACTCCCTTGCCTGCCACCGCCTGTCTGCTGACACCCAGCCCCCAGCCCTGCACTGCCCTCATTGTCTCGCCCCCAAGTGCCGCAGCACTGATGCCGGTCTCCAGGGTGGCCCTGAGATGTGGCTGGCAGTGAGGATCTTGGCTCTGCAGCCAGACGGTGGGCTTAGGTCACTGGGATCCCTGCCTGGGGGTGGGAGAGAGTGATACCAAAACAGACAGTGACTCCCAACCAGAGGGCATCTCCATAGGAAGGGGTGAGAGCCCAGGGGCTGGGATAACATCAGGGCACAGACGCTGGTGCAGGGGTACCCAGGGCAGGGAGGGGCCCATGGGGGCTCTGCCTGCTTTGGCCAGCTTGAGTGGAAGCATTCTCAGGGGAGACAGCACTTCCCTCCTCCAGCCCCAAGAGCTGGGCAGGAGGGCCTGTCGCTGGATCCAGACAGAACCTGACATCCAGGACCCACACGGGACACGTCGGTGTCCAGAGACCTGGGCTGGGCATGGCCTCGTCCTGCGTCGCATTCCACCCCGCCATCCTCTCCCCAGGTACCTGGCCAAGCTGTCCTCGGTGGGGAGCATCTCGGAGGAGGAGACATGCGAGAAGCTCAAGGGCCTGATCCAGAGGCAGGTGCAGATGTGCAAGCGGAACCTGGAGGTGATGGACTCGGTGCGCCGCGGCGCCCAGCTCGCCATCGAGGAGTGCCAGTACCAGTTCCGGAACCGGCGCTGGAACTGCTCCACACTCGACTCCCTGCCTGTCTTCGGCAAGGTGGTGACTCAAGGTGAGGGGGGGGCTCGGGGGGTGCTGGGGGGCCGGTTGTGCAGGAGGAGGGGGGCCTCTGTCAGGGGACCCCAGAAGAGAGCGCCATTTCCTTGGGTGAGGAATGATATGTTCGTTAGTGGCCAGACTCTTCAGTCATTTAGCAAGTGAAAACAGCATCCTGCTCCAGCAAAGGCATAGGGTGCCCATGGGGTCTCCAGGAGAGGGGTGCGATCCAGGAGAGGGCAGCGAGGTGGGAGGGCCATCGGAGGAGGTGGCTGTTCCTTGTGCTGGGCAGCACCCTGCAGCATGCAGGGCCTTCAGCCCTGGAGCTACCATCTGGTGTTACAAAGGAAGAAATCGAGGCTCAGACAGGCTCCTCAGAGGGTCAGCTGCAGAACCAGAATTCAAACCTGGGCTCCAGACCCCGCCCTCTGCTGTTTGCCCTTGCACTCAGCCTCTCGTCCGTGAGCCCCTCCGTACCTCTGACCACCCGTACTGAGAGCCTCATCACGCCCAGCCCTGAGACCCAGGGACAAACAGCACCAGCTCCTGTCCACGCTCAGTCACGTCAACCGCCACAGCTCGGGAGGGGTAGTGGCTTGCACACCAATAGCACGAACTGGGGACAGACACTGTTCGAAGTGTTTTAACTCATCTGGCCCTTTGTCACAAAATAGGCTCCATGTCACACACGGAGAAATGGAGGCACAGAGGTTTAGTAACTTGCCAAAGGTCACAGAACTAGAAAGTGGCAGAGCCAGGACTGCAGTCCAGGCAATCCAGCTCCAGGGTGTCGCTTTTACCCACGATGAGAAAATGCTGTGATGGAAGAGACACGGGCATCTTGGGAGCACAAGGGTGGACCCTCCTCTGGCCAGGGCTGGGGCTCAGAGAAAGCATTCCCAAGAAGGTCAACCCACAGCTGAGAACAGAAATATGAGACGGCACTAAGCCAAAGGACGGTGGGCCAGGGCATAGAGAACGGTCCATACAACTAACTGGAAGGCTCCTTGAGAGGTCACCGGGTCAAGCCTCTGCCCTCGAGGAAGTGCTCTAAACCAGCTGCCTCTTTTTCTACTTCCTGAGCATGAAACTGACACTCTGGAGCCTCCAACAGTCAATGGGGCCCGATGACTTGCTCAGCCGGCAGGAAGGCATTGCCTGGGCCAACCTTTGTCTTGGCACCTGTGGTCCTGGACAGCTAGGGCTGCTGGGCTTGTGGCAAACCATTTGGATGTTGTTGGAAACCAACTGTGATAGAAATTTGGAAGCCATTCTCCTGGGAGCTGGCAGAAGCCAAAAAGGCACGATCATGCTTGGCATTGCTGAATATTACTGCTCCGGAGAAGAAGCCGCGATCCAGGGAGCAGCCTGGTAGTGGAGGGTTTCCAGGGATGATCGTACCACCGCTGGGGGCCAGGGCTGCCTGTTTGATGAGGCCCAGACACTAAGCTCAAATAACAGACGCCGAGTGTGGGAAGCCCCTTTTACACTAAGTAGGTGTTTGGTGTTTTGGGTGGACTAGCGGGTAGATCAGCAGGTTTTACATGCCAAGCCCTTTCGAACCCCCAGGCCTTTGCACACGCTGTGTCCTCTACCCCAAATACCCACCCTCTTTCTGCACCAACTCAGCAGGCCCCTCCTCCAGTCTTCCCAGCACCCTACCGTCTTCCCCCCCCCACCCCCACCCCCAAGCCTTAGGCTTTTTCCTCTTGGCCCTGAAGCTCTTTTGTTCATGCTGGGGCATTTCCCCCCCCCTTTTTTTGGTAATTTTTTGTTTTGAAATAATTTCAAACTTACAGAAAAGTTGTAAAAATAGTACAAAAAATTTCTATATATACACTCTTTACCTAGATTCACCAACTGTTCAGATTTTAACCTATTTGCCTTTATCAATTTCTCTTTCTCTTTCTCTCTCAAAACACATGCACACCTTTGTTTAAACCACTGGTGTTCACACAGCTTTTGTCACACCTTTCAGACTGAACTGCGCCGCCTGTCTCCCCACTCTGTTCCCCCATCCCTAAACCTTGAGCTCTTCCAAGGCAAGGGTGATACCACATGTACCTGTTTGCCCGCACATGGCAGAGCCTGGCATGCAGGAGGCAGTCAGCAGATGTCTTCCAAAGACAGGAAGCAAGTCAGAGCAAGGACTGGAAGGGGCAAAGAAAGGCAGGCATGGGTCAGTGCTGGCCTGAAGCTGGTAAGGGACCTCGTTCCTTGCCTGTGCTTGCGACAGGAACCAAGGAGGGGGCCAGCCCTGGCTCAGCAAGTCTGGGAAGACGCTGAGAATCCTACCCAGCGTGGCTGGAACCTGCTCGCTCAGGCATCCAGTCCTGCGGAGCTGAATCAGGGTGCCCTCCCCCAGGGCCCACACTGGGCAGTCGTGTCTGCAGGAATCTGTCTTCCCTTCCATCCATCTCCTCGCTTTTGTGTCTTTCATTTTCTTCTTGAGTAAACTTCCTCTTGGAAAAGTCTTAATGTGGCTCCACTGACCAGGAGGAGAAGGGACTTGTCCATCCCGAGGCCAAAGTGCTGCTCACGGAAGGTGCAGGGTTGGTGAGGCCGCTGGAGGGAGCACGTGGTGAGCATGACCTGGAGTGGTGACTTCACTCTCCGCGCCCGGCATCCTCACCTGTCGGTGAGACCGGCAGGTGCGCTTACCTCATGGGGCTGTCACGAAGACTGTGATGTAATGTGTGGCAGCACTGCGTGTAGACCCTGCCCCAAGAACAGCCGTCCGTCATCACCAGCTGCTGTCGTTTTTGGCTGCGGTAGCAGCAGCAGCAGCCGGCCTGGGCAGGCCTCCCTCACAGCCCCCAGCTCTGGGAATTGGGGGGCTTGGCCAGTATTGCATTCATGAGCTGCCTGGCTGGGGTCATGACCTCAGACACAGAAGAGGCCAAAGCTAACAGATGGCCCCAGAGCCAGGACCCCCCGTTTGTTGAGGGCCTCCTGCATGCTGTCTGCATCAAATCACACTGACTCTGCGAGTGTGTAGTATGTTTCCCGTTTCACAGCTGAGAAAGGGACTCAGCAAGCAGAGGGTGGTGACACACCCAGGTCTAGGACCTGCCAACTCTTGGCTGTGACATCTTGGTCCTTCCATCCCCTAGCTTCACTGTCCACCTCCCTGTAAGGTGAAGACAATCCCAGGACCAAGCTCCTGGGCCACCCGTCAGGATTCAGAGATGATGCTTCTAAAGGGCTCACTGGCTCCCACACAGACGCCCCCTGGGTTCTCTGACTGCCCCAGGCCTCCTAGCCTCCAACTCTGCACTCCCCCCGCCCCCACACAGCAGAGACCACCCTGCTTCTGTCCTGCTGAGGCCAGACAGACGGTGAAATAATGGTGACTAGGGAGGACAGTGTGTAAGATAGGGCCAAACTGTGTGCCTGGGCTGAAAAGCTACCAGAAATACCTACCTGCCCCCATTCCTGGGGAAGCCAGGAATGGGGGAAGGTAGGTATTCTTGGCTGCACAGGTGCTAAGGGCCCGATGTGGGGTGGCCTCTGTGTCCCAGGTACTGCCTCATCCCAGTGCCCAGAACAGCACTTGCGCATTGCAGGTAACTGACAAATGTTTGTCAGATGAATGAAAAGGGTTTGGGGATGGGAGGGAGAGGCCACAGGGTCTGGCGGAGGTTGGAGGTTGCCATGAGCAGGATATGGGCAGGGGGTCCCAGAGCGGCTGGCCTGAGCAGGACAGGGAGTGGGAAAGGCCACACAGACTCTTCTGCTTCCCGCCATCTGTAGACAACACCCACTTCGCCTGCCTCTCCGCATCTCGCTCTGTGACCTTGATCATGCTCCTGTCCTGAGAAAGGGGACTCAGTGAGCCCTGAGGGCCTTCAGGCTCTGGCTGCCATGGCTGGGAGGGCGTGTGGTGTACTGGCCATAACCAAGAGAAGATTCCAAACCAGGCCCCTCTCTCCACCCCCACGTGTCTAACATCATCTAGGGCACCTTACTGCCTCTAACACTGGGCTGGATTTAAGAAGTAAATGCTTTTCAGTCCTGCGCAGTGACTCACTAAAACCTGTGTTCTCATCTCGGTCCTCAATATTGGCATCATGTTGGACCCAGTGAGGGTGAGGACATGCCTTCCTTCTGGGTGACCTCTCAGGCCAGCCTTTGGTGCCATTAATACACGAGTGGGGGGCTGGTTAAACCCAAAGACATCCTGCCACTGGGAGTTCCTGGAGGATTCATGCACCTCAGTACCCCCCAGTGTATAGCATAGCGTCTAGCTCAGTCAGTGATCAATAAATGTTTGGTGAGGCAGCAACAAGAAAGAAGAGTCTCTGCCCTAAGGAAGCTTTTAGCCCAGTGGCAAAGGCATGGTCAACTGGCCTCCAGCGTGTACGTGCCCCATCGACAATTGTTAGCCAATGAATCAGGTGGCATTAGTCACCCAACACTAAGCCTCACAATAGCTAGTATGTCCTGAGCGCCTATTATGTGCCAGGCACTAGGCTCAGCATGTTCCCTACTTCACCTCATTAGATTTCTAGAACCACCTCATGGAGCCAGTACTAGTATCAGCTCCATTTTATGGACGAGAAGCTGAGATCACACATTTAGGTGCCTGGTGAACACCCCACCCAACGCCCCGCTCTTTCCCAACCCCACTTGTCTCCAAGCAACTGTGAGGGGCCCACTCTGTGCCCAGCTCTGTGCTGGGTGCTGGGGCCTGGGGGAGAAGTATTAGGGACAGCCAGGTCCCCGGAGCTTCTAGTCTGGCTGCGGAGGCCAGACAGACACACAAGACGATTGGGAGGGCCCAGCAGGCCAGCGCGAGGAGGGAAAGGCGGGAGAAGTGCTAGGGTCCAGCCTGCGGGCAGCAGGACTTCCCCATGGTCAAACCAGGGAAATGAAGCTCAGAGAGGGAGGTCACACCAGTAGTAAGAGTCTCAACATGGCTTTGTCCAGCTCTAAAGCCTTTCCTTGTCCCCTGCCCTCCCTTAAATCCAAAGAGGCTTCCTGGAGGTGACAGAACCAGGACTCAGGTTGATTTCCAGAAAAGGTGAGCTCTGGCATGTAAGAGAGCAAAGGAAACCGAGGAGGCGGGCTGAACAGGGATGGCAGAGAACGGGGAATGATATCTTTCTCAGAGACCAATGTCTGTCCTACCCACCTCCCTAGGCCTCCCACTGGATCTGCACTGGAAACATGTGAGCTATGCTGGGGATGGCACTTCCACCAGGACCCCTGCCTGGTGCCCAGGGGATCACCATGTCTATGGCTTCCTTTCCACCCAACTCAGCCTCCTCTGGTTCTCCTCCAAACACCCCTTCCTGCTAGAATGCACTTCCTTCTAACATCTAGGAGAGATGCTGCATGTGATGTGCTCAGAGCACAAGCCTTTAGTCAGACAGACCTTGTTCCAATTCCTCCTGGCTAGGGCTGGCCAAGGGACCCCAGACAAGCCACTGAGCCTCGCTTTTTCCTCATAGAGCAGAGCTGGAGAGAGCTGGTTGCTCAGGTTGTTGGGAGCCTTAGTGTATGCAAAGGCCCCGGGGCCCTCAGAAAGAGGAGCTGTTGCTGGATCCATAGAACGACTCTGAGTTCCCAGCCTCAGGAGGCCTAGCACCTTGGGAAAGATGGCACTGAGGCAGAACCCAGAGGACACACAGAATTGAGACCAGTGGAGGCAGCAAAGGAAGTGCCCTGGGAAGGAGAAAAGGCAGGAAGGAACTGGATGTGGGATGGGCAGATGGCTCCGTGGAAAAGGCAGAAGGTTGCAGGGAGGCTGCTGGCACCTTAGAGAGGGCCGCCTTGCCCCGGGCCAGCTCTGCTGTCCCGGGAGGACAAAGCCAGGACTGTCTTTCTCCTGCAGCTGGAACAGGCAAACCCTAAGCAGGGAGCAGTTATCTGCCACGCGGCTGGGGAACTCCCTCCGGCTGCTCGCAGGCACACCGCAGTCCTCTCCGCAGTCGCGGCCAGGTGCCCCACTAGTAAGCAAGGCTCCAGCCTGGCACCCAGGCAGAGGGGAGAGCTCGGAGGGGCTCCAGCACTAGAGTGAAGGAGCTGGGACCCAGGGCCAGTTAGAAAAAGCTGGAGGAACCACTGCCATCAACTTTAGGGGCACAGTGGCTTGGCCACATACTCCAGGCCTTCTGTGCTGAGTGCAGAGGCCAACTGCTCACCATCCCCCCGTAAAGAACCCACCAAAGGAACTGAGCTTGTCCTGCAGCATGTGAGATTTAGGGTAGACCTAAGGACGTCTTTCTTGGCTTCATACACAGGAGGTAGGAAGAGAGCCGCTGACATATATCCCTGGGGACTCTGGCCATGCGGCAGGATAAGGTCAAGGTTGAAAGCGCTGGAGCCAGGCTGCCTGAGTCCAAATTTCAGTTACACCACTTCCAAGCTGGGTCTTGTTGGACTAGATGCTTCACCACCCAGTGCCTCAGTTTCCTCAACTGTAAAACGAGGGTTAAAAGTCTGTATTTCATAGGGCTGTAAGTGCTTAGTGCCCAGCACAGAGTAAGCGCTCTATAAACTTTAGCTCTTTTTATTATGATGGTCCTTCCAGAATCTCTTCCTTCAGCCCCACTCCCAAGCTGAGAAGACCATAGCGTCCTTGTTCCCACAGCCAGGTCAAGGGGAACCCGGAGTCCTGGCAGACAGGTGTTGGTTTGGGAAATGAGGCAACCTCACAAGGCACCCTGCACCCCAGGGCCACGAGCATGCAAGGGAAGAGGTTAGACCGGAGCTTGGGGTGGGCCAGGCTGCCTGAGAGCCCAGAGAAGGAAGGGAGAAAGGACCTCGCCAGGCCAAGCGCTGGGGCCCATGGCCCTATCTCCCGCTCTCCCTTCCCCCTCGGTCTTCGGGGCAAAGAATTGTGCTGGTTCAGGCCTGGAAATACCAGAAATACCAGAAACTAAAGTCGGCTCTCTTTGGGCGGCCACAGCACAAAACCAACCAACATGATCCTGCTATTAACCTCGATTAACTTGGAGAGGATTCCATCTCAGGCTGTCAAGGCCCCAGCCAAGGCCCCTGATGCCGGCCCAAAATGGCCAGGTCAGGGCAGAGTGGGCAGTGGAGAGTGGGTGGTGGGCAGTATCCCCAGTTCAAGGGCCGAACCGAGAACAGGGCATCCTGAGCCACCAGGGCCTGAGCTGCCCCCACCCCAGCTCCGCTTTTTCTGCTGCCTGTCCATGGACACCGGCACAGAGGAGGTGATTGTTTCTGTCTGACCACGGCGACTGCTCCCCAGGGCAGCCGAGAGCACAGGCCTGGGTGTCGCAGAGGTAATTGCCAACCACGGGGCCAAAACCTGCCCCCTCCACTCCTGCGGACACAGACGCTCCAGCAAGAGACAGAAGGACAGTCACGGGCACACAGAGGCCCTCACAGGGCCCAGGAGAGGAGCAGGGTCTGTCTGGTCACACTCCCAGCCAGCCACGCACACACACACCACACTTGCACTACACACACACAGACACACTCCTTCTCACCACCCACACCCCCAGAAAGAGGCTCCACAGAAGCTACACCCCCTGAGGCACAGTTCCTAGGAGGATAAAAACACCCATTCAGGCAGGGGGCGAGGGCAGGCACCAAAATAGAACCACTGAGAAGTCATGGGCGGAAGGAAAAGAACAGGCACAGAGGCAGACAGACCTGTGCCTGAATCCTGGTCCTATCACTTCCCCTCCCCAAGCCTGCACTGTCATCTGTGAAATGGGCACAGAGCTCCTAGTGGTAGAGGGCATGCCCTCATCAGCAGTCCATTGTGATTACAATTCATTCTTAAAGAGGGAAGGAAGCAGGATTCCTCAGGAATGAGCTTGGCCTAAGCAGGAAGGGCTGGGGCAGGATCCTAACGTGGGGGGACCCCTCAGAGCCCAGGGGGAGGGCTGGGAAAGGCACAAAAAGAACACGGGTTTCAGAGGAAGCCAGTGGGGGCTGGCCGTGCAGCCTGCCACTTCACAGCTCAGTAGTCTTGGTAAGTCCGTTCAGCTCTAAGCTGTCCTCTTTCTCGAAAACGACGTGAACATCACTAGCCTTCTGGAGGGGCTGTGAGAACAGTAACCCACAGACGCTAAGAGCAATGGAGCTGGCCTGTCTGCCTGCTCAACCACATACTGTGTGACAGGGACAAGGTGACTGATCTCTCTGTAAAATGGGGATGATAGCACTGACCTCCCCGGCGCTGAGGATGAAATGCTCAGCGCATGGAGGTAGAACAGTGCCTGCATGTAGTAAGGGTACTTGGCATCGTGTGGTGAGAATAATCACTAGCACAGTGCCACTCCTGGCCCATGGGAGCTAGATCTTTCCAAGGGCCCCCATCGATCAGGTCCCACACACCCCTACCTCTGAACAGAGGGTGCAGAGAGGAGCACTGGGACCCAGCCCTGCCCTCCCTCTGCCTCCCACAGGGACTCGGGAGGCGGCCTTCGTGTACGCCATCTCTTCAGCAGGTGTGGCCTTCGCGGTGACACGGGCATGCAGCAGTGGGGAGCTGGAGAAGTGTGGCTGTGACAGGACAGTCCACGGGGTCAGCCCCCAGGGTAAGTGCAGGAGGTGGGCAGGCGGGCGTGGGGCAGCAGGGGACTGGCCCGCACTCACCCACGGCCCCTTCTGCCCATCGCGCCCCAGGATTCCAGTGGTCAGGATGCTCAGACAACATCGCCTATGGTGTGGCCTTCTCACAGTCATTCGTGGACGTGCGGGAGAGAAGCAAGGGGGCCTCGTCCAGCCGGGCCCTCATGAACCTCCACAACAACGAGGCCGGCAGGAAGGTAGTGTGGTATTTCTCCTGTCACCATCCCCAGTGGGGCAGGGGTGGGCTCGGGAACATCCCTGAATCACCCCCGCCCCCACGCCACTCAGAACACATGTGTTCAGGCTCTCACCAGCACCAGGCACCTCCCTTTGGCCAGTGGGGTGCAGGGTGGCAGGGTGGGGACCAGACAGGAGAGGAGGTGTCGCAGAGCAGTGAGTGGCCCCCCACACACATGTATTTATGTACATAGGTGTATGTCCCCGCCCCTCTGTCACACACACACCCCTAACAGGCAGCACAGCTAGGACTGAGTCCTGTCACAGCGGAGATCATGTGCTTCACTGACACCACCTGCCTTAATGCCTCCCTTTCAAGGCTCCTGTGCAGGTTCAACAGCTGTGCTCTTCCTCACTCGTATGACACTGCCCTTAAAAACGTCTCTCCCCGTCAACCCACCATGGCATACAGGAGATGCTTAATCCAGAGGAAGCATGACATTGCATCTTCCTCCAACTCTGCAGCATGCCCAGCCAAGCCCCACTGCCCGCCCCCGCGGCCCCTCCCCAGCCTCCCCTGACATCTCCTGATGCCTCTCTGCCCTCCCCGTCCCCTGCAGGCCATCCTGACACACATGCGGGTGGAGTGCAAGTGCCACGGGGTGTCAGGCTCCTGCGAGGTGAAGACGTGCTGGCGAGCCGTGCCACCCTTCCGCCAGGTGGGCCACGCGCTGAAGGAGAAGTTTGATGGTGCCACTGAGGTGGAGCCACGCCGTGTGGGCTCCTCCAGGGCACTGGTGCCACGCAATGCACAGTTCAAGCCGCACACAGATGAGGACCTGGTGTACTTGGAGCCCAGCCCAGACTTCTGCGAGCAGGACATGCGCAGCGGTGTGCTGGGCACAAGGGGCCGCACGTGCAACAAGACGTCCAAGGCCATCGACGGCTGTGAGCTGCTGTGCTGCGGCCGCGGCTTCCACACGGCACAGGTGGAGCTGGCTGAGCGCTGCAGCTGCAAATTCCACTGGTGCTGCTTCGTCAAGTGCCGGCAGTGCCAGCGGCTGGTGGAGCTGCACACGTGCCGGTGACTGCCGCCCAGCCCACGCCAGCAACCGCCTAGTGGCCCGGGGAAGGCCGATAATTTAAACAGTCCCCCACCACCTACCCCAAAAGATACTGGTTATATTTTTTTGTTTTGGTTTGGTTTTTGGGTCCTCATGTTATTTATTACCGAAACCAGGCAGGAGACCCCAAGGGCACCAATTGGGGTCTCCCTGAAGCCTGGGCCTTTGTGGCTACCACTGACCAAAGGGACCTTGCTCATGCTTCCGGCTGTCCACATGTGGCTGCTGCTGACCACTCGGTTGTTATCTGTATCCGTTTTTTTACTTGTGGACTTAAAATGGGTAACAGGAGTGTTACAGCCACATGCCTACTGACCCTGCCATCTAGGGAAAGAGGTGGCCCTATGGCGGGGAAATCGGTGCCATTTTGCTGGAAGTTGCACCCACACACATACACATGGACCCCTGGCAGCTTCAGCCTGGTAGCCTTGTCTTCTCAAGCCCCCTGGAAAGGGAATGGGCAGATACCAGGTCAAGGGCAAAGGGTTCATTTCAGCCCTCCATGAGCACCTGGAGGTTCATTCTCTGTGGGACCTTCCAGGCAGGAAGAGCAGGTGAGATGAGGACGAAGGCTACAGTCCCGCCCTAGAGCCCAGCCTGCCTGGCCTCCCCCTCAGAGAGGGAAACCTCCACTCCCTGGTCCCTTCCAGGCAGGAGCATTGCCTGCCCTCCTAGATCAGAGATCCCAGCCGGGCCTTTGTATGACTCCCCCATGTGCGTCTCCTCCTCACAGTGCTGCTCCTCCATGGAACTAAGATTGGAAATCGCTCACACACAGAGAGAGGAAAGGGCCATGTAAAAAAGCCCTCTCCTAACCGTTATTTACTCAATCAAATTTACTGAGCAAATACTATGTTCTAGGCCCTGTACTGGGCCATCTCACTGGACGGTGGAGAAGACAGGGATGCTTGTGCCATTTTACAGCAGAGAGGGCAATGCCCAACCAAGTCTCAGAGCAAGCAAGATGCAGAGGCAGAGCCACAGGAACCCTCCAGCCAAGGCTCCTCCTGGCCTCTGTACCCAAAGGTCCAGAAACTGCAGGTCTTCTTGGGTCTGAGCTTTGCAAAGGGGGCTCTGGCTGGAGGAAGAGGGGCTCCGAGGCAGTTGGAGGCATAGACCACAGGCTGAGCTAGAGCCCACACAGTTCCTGAGGGCAGAGGAGGCTGAGGGACGAGGTGGACAGCTGGAAGGCACTCCTGCCCTGGGCTACCACAGGTATTGAAGAGTCCCCCAGAAATAGCACCAGCAGCCCAGGCCTGGTCCTGCACACCACCTGAACTGTCAGGAGTCCAGTCCAAATTTCTGTGAGCAAGACAAGCACACAGCAAGACCTAGCCTGACCCAACTACTTCCAGGGCTCCCAAGCATCAGAGGAACTCGCTGCCAGCCCCGTCTCCAGGCTTCCCCCACGTTGGGGCTCTAGGCCTCTGGTTTGAGCTGTTGAGCTCTGGGATCCCCACTGGAGGTTTTCTGACCCCAAGCTCTTGGCTCCAGGGTTCAAAGAAAGAAACAAAGTCCCAGATTCAGAATACAGGCTCTGGCCTGTAGAAGCCCTCTAGGCCTTGTGGTTCGTGCCTCCTGGTGTCGGTTCCCTCACGAAGAGGTCAACACTCTTGGCCTCCAGCCAAGCTTTCTGCTCAATGCCCATCCAAGAAGGCCAAAACCAAGTGAGATGCTGGAGCCACATTCGCATGTGGGGATAATCTTGGGGCAGGCAGGCTCTGATGTGGATGAAAGCTGAGCTGACTAAGTGTCCCCACAGCTGCCCAGCTGGGCTCACTGCTCCTTTGGCGGGCTCTGTTCAGCTGTATGCTCAGCGCCAGGGAAAATACTATCCCTCACTGGCAGAGGCCAGACCCAGACAAAGGAAGCAGTAAGGACCCCTCCCCCTCCAGAGATAGGGCTGAGCCACTCTCCCCCATCCCCAAGTCCTATCCCCAGAGCCAGGGGAACAATGGGTCCAGGCTGAATGCTAGTATGCTGAGCACTGCCCCCAGGAAGAAGTGACAGGGTCTGTGCCCATTCATAGGTTTCACCCTTCTACCTGCCAGGGGGCTCCTCAAAGCTGATCCTCTTGGGGTTCTGAAGGGTGTAACCTCGGCGAAGCAGACTAGATTCTAGGAACCTCTGCCCAGCCCTACCACCACTACCACCAGCACCCCAAATGCCAAATGGATCCACAGCCACAGGAAAAAGGAGCTTCCTTGGACACGCTCTCCTCCAAACTGTCCCAAAGAAAGGAAGAACCAGCACAGACCTGACATAGCCCATCTACTCTGAAAGCTGGCCAGAGGGTCCAAGTCCTGCCCAAAACCTTCTCCACTAATCTTGCCACAGGCAAAGGTGATATCCTCCGAGGCCTGGGGCTGGATAAGCCCCAGCTCTGGATGCTGCTGCCCCATCCCATCCTCCAATTTTTATACTAGGCTCCTTGACATTGTGACATCCCCATGAAATAGTCTGATGCACGATAAAATGATTATTTCCTTATCTTGCAATTGTGGTAGTGACTTTTTTGTAGAAGAGGGAAAAGAGAAATTTGGGAAAAGAGAAATTTGGGAAAAGATGTGAGAAAAGCAAATAAAGAGTAGCAATCTCTAGATATAGGCACCCTTTTTGCCCTTTCCTTCTGAATAACTGGTTTTATGGCCACGAGTAAAGGACCCACGGACAGGCTGTCTAGAATTCACTTTTAATACACAGAGGCCATGTCTGCATTTCACCGAGCCATGATCAGCTATTTGAACCCTGGCCTGAGCCAAGGCCTCAGAACCCTTCCCGAGTGTTAATGTGGAAAGGAGGGGCACATACAATGACAGGGGAGGTCTGCTGAAGTGGGTGCCAATTGAGGAGATAGGGAACAAATGGAAAAGAACTTAGTTCCTGTCAAGGACACACGGATTCAAAGCCTGTGGCTAGAAGTAAACTCCAAGATTGGAGCTGAGTCAAAATGAGGTGTCTGAATAGAAAATACCATATAACTCAAGTCGCAGCTGAAGGGGAGACCCAAGGTGGTTTCTGAGGAACCTCAGTCTAGTGAAATCCTCATCCTCACCAAGGGGGGCATGGCCTGTCTCCCCACCCACCACCCCCACTGCAGCAAATTCACACCAGCCTGGAAACAGGCCGGAAACTGCTTGACTTTCCAAAAGTGTAGTGGGATATAAAAGGGCGATGCAAAGGGCTTTGAGGACAGCAGGAGTGCCCACAAACTAGTGAGGAACCGAGGAGGGAGTAATAGAAGGAGGGAGGGAATGGAGTCTAGACTGTAGGTGGCTAGAAAAGAAGACCTCATCTTCAAATAAGGGCCAAGGCAGAGAGGAGGGAACTGTAATACAGAGTCCAAGACAGCAGAGCGAAGAGATGAAGGTGTCCCAACCATTTCTTAGAACTGTGAAAAGGCCCCAAACTTTGCAATCAGACAGACCTTAGTTGGAATCCCTTCACTATATGGAACCTTGGACAACTCATCACCCTCTCTGGGACTCATTTTCTTTATTCGTAATACAGTGCTGCTGCCCTTGCCCCAGTTCCAAATGGGGCTAAATAATAATAGAACATATTTAATGGGGATGTTAAATAAAATAGCACATGTAAAGCTCAACAAATGGCAGCTATTATAAATATTAGTATCATTCCCTTTACAGGAGTGTAGGAGGTAAAGTAGCTCTAAGATTGAGGGAGCCAGAAAGGGGGATAGAACAAGGAGGAAAGCAGAGACAATGGGGGACTGGTTAAGAGCTGAAGGCAGGTACCCCAAGACTGAGGTCTTCCTTTGGCCTCATCCCAGAGATCAGAAGCAGACAGACGTCTCAGGACAGAGATCACCAGGCTGGACACAGAGACAGAATCATCCCAGGAGTGGGATACCCAGGCAGCAGAAAGCAAGGCAGTGGCAAAGCTGCCCCTAGGCACCAATAGGAGAAAGTGAACCAAGGTCCCAATGTGAGCAAGAAGCAGGGTTAGGCCAGGGAGCAAGGGCCAAGGAGTGGAGGTGGGAGTCCCCATCAGAAGTGGAGGTGGGAGTCAGAGCTGCAGGAAGCACACGTCGTGGGGCCCCAGGGCTCCACCTGTAAAGATGGAAGGCTTTCAGAACTCCCAGGCTGAGTAAGTAGCTGAGGGACCATGTCCAGATCCATCCTTGACCACTGCCCTCAGAGCTCAGGCCTGAGGTCTCAGGGTGGGCTGTGAAACTGCATGATAAAGCAGACCTCCTCAGCCCCTTCTTGACAGCCAGTGATCCAAGGGAAGTCTGGGGAAACCAGAGGCAGGGTTTAAGGTGGCTATCAGGCCAAGGAAAGGCCAGGGAACACAGCAAGGGTGTAAAAGAAGTATACGGTCTGCACAACTGAGAGGAGCTAAGACAGGCTGAGAAATGCAGTGAGGAAGAAACAGAGGATGGGAGGACAGACACATGAACAGAGAAAGAGAAAGGCACAAGAAGAAAGGGAGGAAGGTGCTGAGAAACTGGAGGGCATCTGGGCAGAGGAGCCCAGCAGCTTCCTAGTAAGAGGAGAAAGTGCTGAGCTTCAGGAGAACGCGTCTGACTCAAGAAGGGGGGTGTGAGGGGATGTCTAAGGGATGTGGGGGAAGGGTGGAGTGTGGCCTGGCCTGGCCCAGGCGATGACTTCATAGGCATCTCCCCCCACTCCTTCCTGAGCCGCCAGCCCTAGTGACCCCCTGCCCGCATCTCAAGGGTCTAGGCCAAGCAGGCGCTGACAGGGGAGAGAAGGGGCCCTTCTGGGCCAGGCCCCCTAGCCTGGCATAGTGCCTGCAGGGAAGGAGGGGCCTAGAGGCCCAGCCCTTGTCAGCATCCCGGCCGGCACTTCGGAGGCAATTAGCAGCCCAGCTGAGCTAATCCCCCGCCTGGCGAGGCCAACACAAACAGGCCCAGGCCCGGTGCACACTCGCCTGCCTGTTTGCTGAGGGGCCCGGTGGTCCGCCAAGAACAACACTAATAACCCGGGGCCTTCTCTAGGTTAAGAGGAGGACCGAGGCTTGCTGAAGAGCTGACCATACCCGACAGGAATACTCTGGCCA